TTTTTCCCTCCCCCCCCCCCTTTGGTGATGATGGACCCATTCAAAACTGTTTGATAGGTGAGTTTTGCTAAGAAGAAACGAGCAGGAGTTTGGGTGCTGCCTGGCTGAGGTCCGGGAGGGAAAAGGTGTAGAGCATCTTGCATATGCTCTGGGATCCTAAGGACAGAGGGTCTCTGGAAAGGAGGACAGGAGAGGGAGGAGACGTTGCCAAAATGGGACAGCAATGACCTTGAGCTTGGTGGATGGAAGAAGAAGGGGTTTGTCCAAAATTTATAGAATGACTGCTGATATTTTTCTGGGTTTTAGAAGGAAAGGAAAAATCTCTGGTGGGGATGAAAAGATGGGCTAAGAGAGGCCTCCCCCTACACCCTGCAAAAAAAAAAAAAAAGAAGAGAAAAGAAAGAACATGGTTATGGCTTTGGCTATGTTTAACAGCATGCTGTTAATGGATGCTTTTTTTTTTTACCAGAAAGAAGGAAAGCTTGGCAGGGAGGTTATAGCTCAGTGGTAGAGTGCCTGGTTAGCTTGTACGAGGTCCTGGGTTCAATCCCCACTACCTCTGCTGAAAAAATTAAATTAAAAAAATAAATAAACCTAATTACCTCCCCATAAAAAATAAATTAAAAAAATTTTTTAAGTTAGAAAAGAAAAGAAAGAAGGAGAGCTTGTTTCACTGTATGTTAATGCAAGATGACAAAATCCATAGAGCAAGTTTTAGCGCAACAAACTGAAGAAAGGGACTTGCTGATGACAATAGCACTGCCATGCATTTCTCTGGTGCTGGACTTTTTCTAAAGCATCTTCATATCGATAAGCCCACTAGGATGAGTGGAGCAAGATAAAGCAGGCACTGCTTCCTGCCTTTTGAGAAACAGGAAATCAAGGCACCCAGCACAGTGCCTGGTGATAGGATTAGGGTTCCTTAAATAAGTGAAACAGAGTCATACCAAGTCAAAGAATGTCAGAACTGGGAGGCCCTTTGAGATTATCCAGCTGCCTTCCCCCCAACACAGGGTGTCGCGGCAGAGTGGGGAAGTCCTAGGCTTACATGCAAGGTCAACTGGTCAGTGAGTGAAGGACCCAAGTCAATAGTCTGTCCTTTGTCCCTGTATAGGCTGTTGTCACAACATCCACTACAACACTTCGCTGTGCTTTGTGTTCTTGTCCGTACTCATCACTGGACCACATGCTCTTGGAGGGGGCGGAGCTTGCACCTGATTCCTCTTTGTGTCCCTAGGATAGAGTGCAGCATTGGAACTTGTTGCATGGGTGAACAGGAACCAGAAGCTCTTTGCTCCTCCTGGATCACTGCTCCTTTGTGTTCTGCCACAGCTTTTAGTGGCTGAGCCAGGACTCAACCACGGTTTCCAGGCTCCGGGGACCTTTTGCCTCTATCACAATGTCTCTACTCATCAAGGTAGGTGACACTAGATGTACCCGGCAGGTTGCTTTGGACTTTCTAGGCCCCCTGGGATAATCCCTACTGTATTATGGAAGTGTCTAGAAAATGAAGGAAAGGGGGAGGTTCCCTTAGCTCAAAGCCCAAGGCCGGTCTAGCCACTTTCTGTAAAATCTCAAGTGTATCTTGTGCACCAACCAGTAAGTTCTGTCCTTTGGTACATGGTCCAGGTCCCAGGTGGAGGGAGTCTGGGGCCAGGGCCTTGGGAGAACTGTGCCCTCCAGGGTGGGACCTGATAACAGTGGGGGAAAGAAGAGGTGATGGGATTTTCAAGGGGTTCTGAAACAGTGCCTTGTGTATATCTTGTTTTGCTCTTCCTGAAGACTTCTCTTTATTCCTGAGCACGTGTTTGAAGCAAAGCAGAGGAGGTCTCTTATTGCTCCTTCTCATGCCTCAGGACTAGTTGTGGGCAGCCTAAGAATGGCAGATGCTGGGTACCCAGGCCAGTGCATGGAGGGTCGTCTGTCTGCAGGTGCAGGAAGAGAGGCGTAAAGGCATTACACCTAGGCTGTGTACCACGGTGCGGGCTTTGATATCTGTCTCTGTCCTCTGGTTCTGCCCAGGGTTTTGCAGCCCCCATAGGGTTCCTCCCACCGGAACCTCCACTTCCTATCTCCCATACCAACTCAGAGACCCTTAAGTTGGGTCCTGCCACCATCTCCCCAGCCTGGGAGTAGCTTGACTTCCCCTGGCTCATCTTCTCCCCACTTCATGCCAGTGAGATTCATAGAGTGCAAAGTACAAAAGGACCACCCTGGAAAGCTCAATGTCAGATGATGACCATGTCACCGGCAGCTCGATTCCTCTTGGTTTCAAAGCAGTTTCCACACAAACTTAGAGCAAAGCCACATGGTCGAGATATCTAGGGACCAGTGATTTTTCTTTGTTCTGCATTACTCATCTTGAAGAGGCCAAGGGGAAGGTCTGTTAGTGCTCAGAAGTTACCTGGGCGGCCTTACGTGCATATGTGAAGGGGCGAGTGGCCTAGGAAGTTCAAGAAATGGCCTTGGCATGCCCCTGAGGGATGCCAAATCCTCCAGCCTCATCATGGCAGGGAGATTGAGGTGAGCCTCTCCTTTCTCATCTTCGCTGAAGGTGAGCAGCTCCTCAATCCTCTGAGGTGACATCTTCTGTCCCAAGGGGCCCAGCTGGATATGTGTGGAGGTACATGATGGTTTGGATGAAAGACAGATGATACTGGCAACACGCTGAAGTTCTGAAGGCAGCCTACTCGTGGGAGTGGGTGGGAGCTCTCCGATGGGCAGAGGGCGCCATGTTATCAGAGTCTGCTTCTGCAATGACTGAAGTTTGGCTCTACTTTTTTTTTTTCAATTGAAGTATAGTTGATTTATAATGTTGTGTTAGTTTCAGGTGTACAGAATAGTGATAGTGATTCAGTTATACATATATATACATATACAGAGTCTTTCCCTTTTTCCTATTCTTTTTCATTATAGGTTATTACGAGATACTGAATGGTTCTTCTTTATGGTGGGAGATCAAAGAAGCAGCCGGTTTTCAAAGTGGGGTCTCTATTGTGAAACAGGAGGTATATGGGAGCTTATGAGAGTGGGCACAGTTGAGGGGTTGGCAAAGCTCCCCCCTCCCCCAGAATGTCATAGATGAGCTAAGCCTTGTGGAAGGGGGAGGGCAAGGGGAAGGCGGGTGAGGATCATCCATTAGATCTTCAGACCAGAGGTGGCAGCTAGGAATTGTTCCCCAACGAGTCGCCGAGAGAATGGAGAATGACAGTAGGAAGGGTCCCTATCTCTAAACCTGTTTGGTCCCCGTCTTGTCACAAGCCACTCTGTTTCACGGCATCGTTTTGTCCCACTGAAGACAGGCTACAACTCCTTTTCCCCAGACAGACTGAGCCCGGAGCCGGGAGTGGATCTCACCCCCCCTCCGGCGACCGGGACACTCACCTGCACCAGGTCCGGTGTGAGGCGCTTGGCCTGCAGCCATTTCTGGAACCTCCCTGTTTTCCGCAGGACGCGCTCGATGCTGCAGGTCTTGGGGGCAGCTGCGGAGTCACAGATCCTCTGGTCCGAGATCTCGTTTTGGTGTTTGCTGACCAGCCTCGAGACCTCCACAGGGCGCCAGGTTTTGGAATCATCGGAGTAGTTGGCAGGGTAAGACGGCAAGTCATCCGGACGCAATCCGAGGTGGGAGTCCAGCCGCTCATCAAACCTGGAAGAATAGCCCTTTGCGGATCAGCCTGGGAGCCAGAGAGAGGGAGCAGGGACTCAGCAGGGCCCAGCCACAGTGCCGGAGCCAGCACAGCCCAGGGATGGGGAGACGGGGGACAACATCTGGTCTGATCCATTTTTTTCTCTTTAGATGGGGGTGGTCCAAACTCTTTTTGTGAGGTCTTAAAACCATAGCTCTTTTTTTTTTCTTTAATAAAGATTCAGGTAACAATTCTGTTTTTTTTGGGGAGGGGAGGGAGGGTTATTTATTTATTTATTTATTTATTTATTTTTAACGGAGGTACTGGAGATTGAACCTGGGACTTCGTGCATGCTAAACATGGGCTCTACCACTGAGCTATATACCCTCCCCCCAAAACCCTGGTTCTTGAAGATGCTTATCGGCCTGCACTGGGGAGAGTTCTGCCTCTCCGTATCCGAACCCAAACAGCCCCATCAATTTTACTTTCGGCCCAAAGATTTAAGTGATCAGTACCAACCAAGTCTCAGGGAACAGTGGCTGTCAAAGGGTCGCCGAATTCAAAGCTATCTGGGATCCAGGGGATGTTTAATTCCACCCAATAGCCCGGCCAGGGGAGAGGTACTGCCTATTAGCATCTGATGATTTTTCTAAGCTCCACCTTGACCCTTTTCTCCAGTCTTTCCTTCAGCTGTGCACTGAAATTTCCATCAGGGAAGAATGCCGAATCTTCTGATTCATGTATGAAAAATTACTAAGAAAATGTTTATCTGCATTATTATTAATAACTGAGGGTTAGAGTGCAAATGAACATTAGGCTCATAAGATATATTGTGTATTTAGTTTCAATAAGATTCTTTAAATTCTTGGGGGAGGGTATAGCTCAGTGGTAGAGCGCATGCTTAGCATGCACAAGGTCCTGGCTTCAATCCCCCGTGCCTCCATTAAAATAAATAAATGAAAAATTTAAAAATAAACCTAATTGCCTCCCCCTCAATTAAAAAAAAAGGGATCTTTAAATTCCTATCATTGGGCATTACTGGGCAAGCTGGTAATAATGAGTTTTATAAGAATGAGCATTTTGATTATTTCTAAGCCCTAGATGGTCTCTTGTCCTCGCTTCTATGACACGGTTACCCTAAGAGACTGTAAGCTTTTCAAAGAAAGGGCTCTCACAGAAGCTGTCAGTAAGCACCTTCTGCAATGCAGGACTGTTCAAACCGCAGTGGAAGGAAGCACAAAGAATTCTGTTCAAGGACATGGCCACAGATCTGTTTAAAAAGACCAAACGCGGAAAACTTGCAAGGAGGCAATTTTACTGCAGTTTTTAGGATAACCATGGGAAATGATCCTCCCCCACCCCAGGAGGGTAAGGAAGGGCCTAGGGCCTCCAGGAGGGCCTGTCTGTTTCCTCCATCTGCTCTTGTTCATGGGGTTCAACCTCCCCGTCACCACCACCCTGCCTCAGGGCCCGAGACTAAGGATTTGTAATAGAGAATAACCTTTGTTTTGTTGGAGGTTTGCAGGGACACCATGACCTGCCCACGTGGGCGGCTGCAAGAACAAAGAATGCCTGCAGCAAGAAGTTTACAACAACCAACCACACCCCCTCCCTTGTTTTTTGTATAAAAGGAGCCTGTATTCTGACTAGAGCAGGATGGTTCTCCAAGACATCAGTCTGCCGTCCTCTCGGTCTGCCGGCTTTCCGAATAAAGTCGCTACTCCTTGCGCCAACAGCTCGTCTCCCGATTTATTGGCCTGTCGTGAGGCAAGCCGAATGAGTTTGGAGTCGGCAACAGATTTACAACTAGGGGGCTTTCTTAGATAAAAATAATAGCAATACACGTTTCTGAATCACTTTAGCAGCCACTTTGCTAAACACTTCATGTGCATCAATTCAGTTAAACATTTCAACCAACCTACGAGGTCAGTGCCGTTATTAAATACCACGCAGATGAGGAAACCGAGGCACAGAGAACTTCAGCAATCTGCTCAACGTCACACAGCCAGGAACCGAAGGAAGTGGCATTCAAGGCTCCAGAGGCTGTACCCTACACCATTTTGCTGCATCTTAGTCCTCTATCATCCATTTTATGAATAGCTTGTGGGAACATATTGGTAACATCATGAGGGGTTATAGCTAGCAGGGTCCTTAAGGATTCTTTTGTCCCTGTCCCTTGCTCCAGGGTCTTTTCAGGATGAGAACATTGAAGATGACTTGTCTGAAGAATCATAAACAACATAGTGACAGAGGACCCGATCTCAGGGATCTTTGTTTCCCAGTGGGTGGGGGTGGGACGGGGGGGGGGACTTCCTGCCCTGTAGGGTACGCTTTTTTCCCCCAAAATAGATTAGATTTGGTTTTTATTGTAGAGCACATGTATCAGGGAAAAGGGCTGCACACACAACTACAAATCATTTTGGGGGGAAAAAAGCTGTAAAAGAAATCAAAACTCTGCAACTGCTTTATTTAGTTAACGCAGTCCTGCTTGCGGAATCTACGCTGGCTAAGGAGTTCTGGCCCCTGAGAGGGGCTTCCTGCTGGTGGGCACCCCAGCTGTCTGCAGCCTCTGTAAGGCTAGGCCCCCAGCCCCGGGGTGGTGGCAGCCTGGGGGCTGGGAGGGCCTCTGCGCTCAGCAGGTCTGAGTCTTGACCCCAGGCTGGCAAGGAAACTTTCCTCCTGAACCCAGATCAGCAAAACCTTGCAAACCCTTTGAGGATCTGAATGGGTGGAAACTGCCAAAGACTTGGCTTTTTTTCATTCATTTTTTAAAAAAAATTTAAGTTTATTTTTTGTGGGAGGAGGTAATAAAGTGTACTTATTTATTTTTTTAATGAAGGTACTGGGGATTGAAACAAGCATGCGCTCTACCACTGAGCTATACCCTCCCCTCTCGTTATTATTATTTTTAAAACCCCTTCCCTGTCACTGAAACCTCGTCTGCGGGCCTGAGCTCTTGCCTCGGAGGCATGCTGTAAGCGGATGGAAGAGGTGGGGGCCCTGTTATGGGGATGATGCGGGGACAAGGCCTGAGCTGGCCTGTGGAGGAGAAAAGAAGGGGAAAGGAAAAAGCCAGAAGACCAAAGGAATAAAGGAAAACTCCGAACAAAAGAAAAAAACCCTCCTATTACACCTTTTCCTGTCTTCTTTTCTTGTCCCCTCTCCCGAGGAGGCTCCACCAAGAGGACAGAACTGACTTGGCAGGTGAGCTGTGCACGTTCAGGGGATGCTCGGTGCGTGTTCAGCAGTGGCTCAAGGCATCCCATCAGGACCAGTTGAGGACAAAGAAGCGGGTTCACAGGCCACATTTCGCTCCCATTCCAAATAGTAATAAATTTATGGTGCTCAATGAGAAAAAATGAATATTCCTACAACTCTGAGTACCTCCTTGATTGAATGCCAGTGAGAAAATGGGCCCTGGTTTTAGTCACCAAAATGTGAATATCCTGGCATTTGGAAAACCACAAAACAGAGACGGAGTTCTGTTCCTCCTTTCTGAACTGAGATCATGGGCACGTTCGAAGTGAGGCCGGCTGAGTTTCTTATTGGTTGGAAAAATGCACGAGCAAGAATATAGGTTCCCAGAGGTGGAAGGAAGCATGAAGGTCACGTGATCCCTTCCCCCAAAACCCTTCAACATGGAGATGGGGGTGGAGTGACAGTGTTGGAATAAAAATAAAATACTCTCTTCTTTTGTCTACTTTGCATGCTTGCATCCAGTCAAACATTAAGTTTGGAGCTATGCCTTCCTAAATATTTCATGCCTCTCTTCCCTCTCCCTCATCCCTCAGCTCTGCCCAGGACCCTTAAAACATCCAGCATCTTCCCCAAACTCTCCAGACACAATTCATACTTCTTAGAGCAGTTCACACTGCTTTTCTTAGGCCCATCACCTCCTGCTCCCCTTACAAGCTTGCTTTGGTCTCACCAAACCACTGACCATCCTTGGCTAAGCCATATCGTTTTGGGCCTCCAAGCCTTCACTCACCTTGTCCTATGCTGATCCCTTTGTCTGAGACATTTTTGTCTTCTTTCTCGCCTGGATAATTCCTCCCCAACCCATTAAAACCCAGACAGGCATTATCTCTTCTGATTCTTACTCCGTCGTCCCTGCGGCTGAGATAGGTTCCCTCTTACCCTGTGTAGGACATTTTATATAGTCCTCATGTACTGCTTTAATCATTGGTTCATGGCTCTTGTCTTCTCAGTAGAAAGTAAACGCCTTCAGGGCCAGGATTGGGCCTCTTTCAACTTTGTAACTCAGTACCTAGCAGGGTGCTTCGTATTGAGTTAGTACCCAACACATTTTAGTTGGATGGATGGGTATTTGAATGAATAAATGGATAAATGAGTAGAGGGATACAGGGAGGGCTGGATGGGATGGACAGAGTAGTGGTTGGGTGAAAAAATGCATGGAAGAATACCTGGATGAACAGGTGGATGGATGGATGCATGTTTGGATGACTGCTGTGTAGACGGATATTTTTGCCTTAAGCTCTGGGACCCTGAAGGTCCCAAGACCTCTGAATTGATTTGAGAAAGTGAATTAAAGGTATAATTACTATCACCTTCTGTGGTGAAGGAGACAGACAAGGGCAAGGGAGAAGGGAAGGCAAAATCAAGCCTGATGGTTTAATTCTTTTGCTGTGAGTCCTCCACCACTCAGATGTGTTTAAACATTCTTTAAGATCTTGGGAGTAGGCGGTGGGGCTGTAAGTTCAAGTGGATACAGTAAAGAAGGCAAAGTAAGGTATCCATCCTGGAAGAGCCCAGGAATCCTTTGGAGTGATTCTGATCAGAAATACTGCCATAAAGTACTCCATCCTCCACCCTTTCCCCCTACTTGTTACCTGCATATCCCAAGTCCTGATCAATCAGACCCTGGTAGATCTTACCAGTTTAAGTGGCCCTTTAGGATTTTCTATATAGGGATATTTTCAGGAGGAAGAATCTGTCAATCAGGTTGACTCATTTTTCCAGCTTCCCTTAATTTTTTCATTGAGGATTTGAAAGTCAACATGGAACGCATGGGGAAAAAAAGGTACTGAAAATATTCAAATGGTCAAAGATCATTGGCTGAGTACCAAAAAAAATCATCTTTAGCATTCTTACCAAAGAAAAGATAGGGAAAGAAGGAAAGGTGACATCTATCTCCCAGTCACGTGTCTTCCGTCTACCCAACCACGCCGGGAAGCTCAAACTCTCTTGTTTGTTGCTGAGCAACAAGCATTGGCCAGTCCTTAAGGAGGACAAGCTAATGCTTGCCTGGCTATAGCATTTCAGTCTAACACCTGAAAGTTTCGGATGAGCTTTTTTCTTAAGGTCTCATCATGATCATTTACAAAAGTGGAGACATGTTTGGAGATGAACAAGAACAAGACAAACAAACACACAACTGGAAAGCGCGGCAAAGGATGTGAACTTAGAGACAAAGAAGAAATACAAATGGCCAAGAAGCCTGAAAAAAGGGCTCAGCTCAGACATACTGAGAAGGAAGACAAAGTAAACATGGCCGTCATATTCAACATTTCGGAGTATGCAAAAAGTAAGTTCTATGGGTAGAGGTCTCCATTTGGCTATATCTCACAATCCTAAAGATTTGCTATTATTTTTTTGCCCTGGAAATTTCACTTTTAGGAATTTGTTATAGGAATTAGTCACTGATGTGCATAAAAGTCTAGCCACGGGGATGTTCAACATGGCTCTGTTTATAATAATGAAAAGTGAAAAAAAAATCTAGCTGTCTCACAGGAGTGGATTAGTTAAATAAATTCTGATTGATTGATACAATTGAATACCACGAAACCACTAAAACTCAAACTACGGCAAAGAATAGTTAATGTGAACGGGGAGGGTGTAGCTCAGTGGTAGAGTGCATACTTAGCATGCACGAGGTCCTGGGTTCAAATAAAAATTTAAAAATTAAAATAAATAAACCTAATTATCTCCTCAATAAACCAACCAAACAACAACAACAACAAAAAAGGTACTGTGGAAAAGTTTTCCTGATATACTGTTACATAAAAGTTTACAAAGGAGTATGCATAGTATGATCATATTTTTGTTGAAAAAATTTTTAATCGACACTTAGAAAAAAAGGTGGTAAGGATCATACACCAACATGTTCACTAAGGAGTGATCTTTAGGTGAAGAATTTTTATTTTGTGTTTTCTTTAATCAATATTTCCTGAAAATTTGAAAATAAAGAGATACCACTTTTAAAATAAGGAAAATGGTATTTACAGTGTAGACAATAGAACTATAAACAAATCCACGTTCCCAGACCTGCTCACTGCCCCTCTCTGCTTCCTTGCCCTGAGGATGTGACTTCTCAGCATAAAGCACTCCAAACCCCCACCTGCCCCGCCTGGTCTTTTCCTGCTGGTATCTGACACTTCCCTTTCAGGCAGGCGCACATGGAAAATCAATTCTGAGGGAGCTGAAGTAATATCCTGAACTCGACTGGAACACAAACCTATTTGGGGGAATGCTTCCTGCATTTGGCCAATATTTGCCTGGAAAGAAAAACCTCATTGATTTCCACGTGGTAAAAAGTCCACTGTAAGATTCAAATACGCGTGTTTACTTATCTGGAGGAGGATGTGAACTCGGAGCTCTTTCTCAGTCAAATCCCTTGATTTCCCTCCCTCCTATCTTAAAATATGTCCGTATTCTCACTGCCTTCTTCCCCCAAGGAATCAGTCCCACTTCATGTGTGTTTTCGGTCCTCTCCATCCCAGTTTCTTAGGTGGGCAATCTTGCGTTCATTTTCAACATCTCCATTTTTATTTCCTCTCCCAAAATTGAATTGGTCCACAAAATGATGCTCTAGCTGAACCCACTTGCACCCTTCCTGCCCTGCTTTGTTCCCAAAGACCTTTCTCTTGGACCAGGAGACCTGGTCTGGCCACCCCTTCCAACATCACCACGCCATTCTCATACGACTTTCCGTAAGATCTTGGTCCCCACCCTACTTAACACCCTCACCATTGCCTGCAACAGAGCCTCCCCAGTTGGAGATCTTTCAACTTTTCAACGTTCAAAATACCTTAAGAAATGGTCTCATGGGAAAAGTTCACATCAACTTCATATACTATCTACCATCTCACAAAAGAAGTTCAGCATTTTTATTGGTATTTTTCCATTTGTTATTTCTGTTTAGTAACTTAGTTAAATAGTCAAATGTGTCTTTGGTTTATACAGATTGGAAACAAAATTATTGTAAATTAATTTTCTTTGGTCACCAAATCTCACAAGCCAGAGGCAGGTCGTTGGGGGAGAGCATAGGAGAAGGGGCCTACTATAAATGGTCTTTACTATGGAAAACACTGGGAACCACAGGCCCCCAGATTAAGATCCCAATTCCTTGGTACGGCATTCAAGGCCCCCTGCCCCATCTGCCGCTTCCAGCCTCCTCCTTTGGCCACGCCTCCACATGTGCCCCATATTCCAGCCACCAAGTACTCCCCAACTCTTCCCACACCTCTGGGCCTTTGCTTAAGCTGATCCTTCTACCTTAAGCCCCTCTCCTCCCCCTACATTTCAGCTCATCCTTCAAGGCCTTGCTCAGAACCCCTCCCCAGGGAGAAGCCTTTTCCCAGTCCCCATTTGGAATTAACGTCCTCTCCCTGGAGCTCCCTGAGGTCCTTTACACTTCGCTCCCGGCCTGCGTTGAATCAGGCTTTATTATTATTATTTGTCACACTGTTCCCCACCCCTGAGCCCCTGGAGGGCAGTGACCAGAGTGACAGCAATGTCATTACAGCACGTGCTGGGTCTTGGCCGTAGGAAAGGCTCATTGACCATGTGTTCCAAAATGTGGGACCATTTTTTTGGTGAGAGCCACGTGCATGGAGATTTCCTCAACTTAGGATTTCCTCTGATCAAGGCAACATCTCACAACAGAAACCTGGTGCAGAAGCTTTGGAGCAAACCGCGTGGGTTTGCACCCCAGATCTGCCACTGATTAAGTGGTGACCTGGGGCCAGTCATTGAACCTTACCGTGTCTCAGTTCACTCTCAGAATCATGGGTGCAAAACACTAACTCCCAGGATTGTTGTGGGGAGAAAAATCAAAATAGCTTTCAAATGCCTGTCACATAGCCAGCTTTCTATAAACTTGATTTCCCTCCCACTATGAGAAATGAACTTGATAAACTTAATCATCCCAGGCTACTCCAGTCATAAAGAAGAAACAGTTAAGCTCCCATTTCAAAAGGAAACGTTGGATTTAGCATTTAGAGCTGGAATTTGGCTTCACACCTTACCACCCCCCACACCCCAACTTTAACCCATTACCACTATCTGATTCAATGGCCTCCCACCCATGAATTACAACCTGCCTTGTTTTCCAGAAACTCCTGGACGTTGTCACGTGAAGGGAACGGAACTGTGCCCCTCAGAGTTATCTGATTGAGATTCTGACCTTATTTCTTCTTTAAAGAACTTCTTGCAAATAGATGTCCCGATGCAGGCATTACATTTATCAAGACCGAGGAAAGTCCTTCCAAAATTGTAGCTGATTCGGACTCGGGGCACCAGAGAAGGAGCGAGAGAAGCCGGCGAGGAGGCAGAATAGCTCAGGCTGGAGACCCACAACAGCAGGGCCGGCCAGCCCAGGCGGAGGCCGGCAGCCTCAGGCCCCAGCCAGGGCTCCATCACCGGCTCAGGACTCCAGCTGCAGCCCTCGGCTGCCCACTTAGGGCTGCACAGAGGCAGGTCTTGGCAAAAGAGAGAGGGCTGGCTTCAGGGCGTTGACCCCATCCCAGCTTCCCGGGTTTCTGTTGGAGGATGCTGAGGAGCTCGGGGCTACCGAGGCTGGGGAGGAGGTGAGGAAGTCCATGGAGGATGCTGATAACACAGTTTCCAGAGTTATTCTTCCTCTGCCCTGGGGCCGCTGCCGCAGGCTGGGGAGGGGCCGACTGGCAGATTTCAGAGAGGACAATGGCCAGGGCTTCCCTGTGCTGTCCTTTTGACAAACACAGGATATCCTGGCTGGGCAGAAAAGGTCCATGCAGGATGTATGTCTGACCTGGTTTCCACCTGGGAGTTTCAAAGAATCCTGAAGGCCTCCGCCTTCCACTGTTTTAATCATGGGTGTACCTGTCCCTGTGGGTCATACACACACACCTCCCCCTCCCCCTCCCCACAGTGGATAACTTGGCCTACCCCTTAACCAGCCATATTTGGCCATAAAATAACTAGAAGTCACTTGGCTGGCCATTAAGTGGTACATTTGATACTGATTTAAAAGGTGAAGCCTTTTTACTGCTTGGGGAGTCGAAAAACTCAAGTTTGCTTCCGCTGATCTGAGAAGAAAGGGGAGGAAAGGTCCCGGTGGCCTCTGGTGTGATGAGAACACACCGGAAAGATCCTTCTGCCTGCACCCAGCTGTGTCCATCCCTCTCCCCCATGCCTCAAAGTCCCTCTTTACCACCCTGCCACACTTGTCAGTGGCTGGCTTGACTTGGTGGAGATACACTGCCTCGGGGTTGCCTTCCTCCTGACACCAAGATAAGATCTGATACCAAGCAAGACCTTGGGGGCATCCCCACCCCCTGCCTCTTGTTTATAGAGGAGCTGGCGTCTCCCAGGCCTCCCTGAGTCGCAGAAGAGCAGGCTCAGACAGTTGATTAGGATAGGCCTCCAGGCACTAGGGGATGGCCACGACTCTGACCACCTAGCTCAACGATTAACTGAGATTACTCCCCCATTTCCTTTTAAAACTTTCATGGCTGAACAGAATGTTTGGAGATGGTTTTTTTGGAGGGTGGGCGGGATGCTGAGTCCACCGGATTGCAGGCATTCTGATTGAAAGCAAACTTTCTTTTTCTTACCAAGGCTGTTGCCCCCAGGATCATACCCCTGCCCCTCCCTCAAATAGAAACCAATTACTCTTATCTAAGTCCCAGGAGGCAGCTGCCAGGAGAAGAAACAAGAACTGGTTAGAACCAACGCCCAAGAAGGTGGAGGATTTGACTTCCAGTGGACCTTGAGCCTCATTGTAATATATTAGCACCAGCACCATGACAGTTGACGATTGCCATGACAACCACCAGCAAAGCCTGTACAAGGACTGATTGGCTCCATCACTCCCGGAAGGAGGACGCGATGACAGAAGCCTCCCATAAAAGTCCACATGTCCTGACCCAGATGGGAGCTGTCTCTACCGGCCATCTTGGCTGACAGCTCCCTCCTTGAGTACTTCCTTTCTCTGCTCAAGTGCTTTTCTTCCATTTTCCCTTCTGAGCAAATAAAGTGGCTGTTCATTTCATCCCTCTGCCTCCGTTTCTCGAATTATTTCACAGCCAGTGGCAAGGACCCACACTTTGGTAGGCTTCCTAATTTAGGGGTCCCTCCATCTGCTAACAGGTCCATAGCATGGAGCAGATGGAAGTGCCAATTTAAGAATATGTAGTGAGAGCTTATGAGGACCAAATCAGGGAAGGCAGGCTTGGGTTGGGAGAGGGGGAAACGGAGGTAAAAGCAGAGGCTGGGGAGGGCCTTTGAAGAGCTGGGGAGTTTTGCTAAGATTCATGGGAAGAGTAGGGTAAGGGCAGGTCTCTGATGGTTAAATGTACTTAGTAGTTAATTGTGTATCCTCGGTGAAATGTGGCGTTTGTTTTTTATTGTGGAGTTGTGAGGATTCCTTATAAATTTTAGATTCTATTTCTTTGTTGGCTATGTGGCTTGCAAATATTTTCTCCCAGGTGGTGACTTGTCCTCCATCTCAATAGGGTCTTTTGCAGAGTGAAAGTTTTTAATTTGGTTAAGGCCAGCTTGTTAATTTTTCCTTCTATGGACCATGCTTCTAGTGTTAAGTATAAGGACTCTTCACCTAGCTCTTGGTCCCAAAGATTTTCTCCTATGGTTTCTTAGAAAAATTTCATAATTTTACATTGACGTCTATGATTCATTTTGAGTTAATTTTTATATAGGAGATGATTAGGTCAAAGTTCTTATTTTTCTTGAAGGGTGTCCAACCCCTCCAGCATCATTTGTTAAAAAGACTAGCCTTCTTCCATTGAAGTACTTTTGTGACTGTCAAAAATCAGTTTCTCCGCTAATTAGTGACGTTGAGCATCTTTTCATGTGCCTATTGGCCATCTGTATGTGTTCTTTGGAGAAATGTCTATGTAGGTCTTAGGCCCATTTTTTGATTGGGTTGCTTTTTTGATATTAAGCTGTATGAGCTGTTTGTATACTTTGGAAATTAAGCCCTTGTCAGTCACATTGTTTGCAAATATTTTCTCCCATTCTGTAGGTTGTCTTTTCGTTTTGTTCCTAGTTTCCGTCTTTAATTTTCCTGACCAGGACTTCAAAATCACTAGTAATACTTTACAATGCGGAGACCTCTGTAGTTTCATGAAGTGCTTTCACATTTATTGTCCATAAGAATCTTGTAAGAAACTTGTGAAGGAAGACTCAAAGCTAACTGAAGAAACTGAGGTGTAGAGATGCGTAATGGACAACTGAAGTCACTCCAACTGAAGTAAATGCCAGACCTGAGGCTTGAACTCAGCTCCTCTGAAGCATAATAACAGCGCACCATCTGCTCTACCACAGCGCCTCTCAAGACGTGGCTTGAGTTTGTACTGGTGGTTTCAGGGAGTCTAACTTGCCTTCCCAGATGTGCAGAAGTGGCGCTGGGTTCTCAGAAGGCTTTCCACGCATTTTGACAACATACCCAAGGAACACGGTGAACTTCAGAATCAGCCACGTGGGACTAGCCTGTGCCCTCTCTGCTCTACCCATCGGGGACTACTATGCAAATTGCTGACACCTGTGAAGATCTGTATGATGTCACGAAGTGTCAGCGACTTCAGATGTCCCGGACTCACCATAAGAGAGGTTGCCATTGGGCTTCTTAATACGGTTTCTCTTCCTTCTTCCATCGTGTGTTATTTTTCTCCATTCACCATCACTGTCATGAGGCTGATTTTAATTTCTCTCTGCTTTCTTATCCTGCCTTCCCTTTTGAAGTTTTCCCTTCCATCCTGCAAAGACAAAAACAAAACAAGGTAAAAACAAGAACAAAAATAAAAATGCTATTTCCTCTCCAGTAAACTAGCTCTTAGAAGATGTTCCTCAAAGCCTGCCACCTCTCCTGAGACCAGGAGACCAGTTTGTATCTATAGTATTCCCAGTGATGCGTGGCTCAGGCAGGAACGCAAACCTAGACACGCCCATCAGGCTGTTGGAAGCCTTCCTACGTTGCCCATAACCTTTAAGTAGGAAGAGACATGGTTGTGGCTTCCATGACAACTCTGCCCTGAACAGCTCATAAAGCTGACCTTTTGAAACTTAGGTTGCTGTAGAATCCAGGCCACCTTCTGCCTCTAGGTTTGTCCTTTGATGGTGGACACTTGGTTCTTTCCCAGAGAGGGAGGAAAGAGAAGGAACACTTGAAGAGCTTGGGTTACTTTTTCAAAAATTGTGTCCCTTTTTTTTTCAAGTATAAAACAATACACCTTCAACAACTTCCTTCTGTATAGCGCAGGGAACTATATTCAATATCTTGTCATAACCTATAATGAAAAAGAACATGAAAATGAATATATGTATGTACATGTATGACTGAAGCATTACGCTGTACACCAGAAATGGACACATTGTAAACTGACTATCTGTCAATAAAAAAAAGCAACACATCTTCTTAATAGAAAACTTGGTAGATGGAAAAAATTAAAGTAAATGTTAACAGTTATAGGTATGAACTTGAACATTTTTTTTCAATGCATTTATACCTAACTTGCTTTTTAACTTAAAAATACACTGAAATTTCTGTGTCATGAAACATTTTTCCTAAAGGTAGATTTTTCATGGGTGTATAGTATGGGCCATAATTTATTGAACCAGTCCTGATTATTAAGACAGCTGTTAAAAATGACACAGGGTTAAAACAATTATACAGGATTTGATTTCTCAAGCTGCAAAGTTTCAAAACAAACATTTTATTTTCATTCTTGAAATCCTTGGGAAGGTATATCAGATAGAGTATCTTTAACTGGAAGTAACAGAATATTGCTACTAATATTTGCCCTAATATTACAAAATACATTATCTATGTGAGAAGTCCGGAGATTAAGCGGGCTCCAGCAGCTCAAATATGTCATTGAGGAGATAGGATCTTATCATCTCTCCACTTTACATGTTAGGTGTGTCCGTTTTCCGACCAGGTTGGCTCCCTTGCTCATAAGGTTTTGTAGTTTGGGGCATCACATTCATACATGTCAACTTCCAGCAGAAGAATAGGAGACACCTCTCTTTTTCTTGGAGCAAGGAGCTGTTTCCCAGAATTCTCCCTTCAGATCTCATTGGCTAGAACTGGATCAAATCCTACCCCATCACTGTGAAGAGGACTGAGATTACCATGTGGGAGAACATTTTTTTTTTTGCAGAGTGGGCAGCTAATCCCAAACAAGGTGTGGTTAGGAAGGAAAGAAGTAGGGGAAATGAATGCTGGCTAGTGTCTTGGTTTGGGTGCCCTAAGAACAAACTTTGAAACGAGAATCTGAGGATTGAGAGGTGACCTCAGGAAACACTGATAGGGGAGGAGAGAGCTAAGATAGGGAAATAAATTTAGAAAAAAAAAAAAGAACCGAAAAGAAAAAAAAAAGGTGGGAGGGTAGAGCTCAGTGGTTGAGCACATGCTTAGCATGCATGAGGTCCTGGGTTCAATTCCCAGAACCTCCATAAAAGAAAAAAGAAAGATCTGGGAAGTGAAAGAAGCCAGAAGAGTACATTGCCAAGCCAGCTACCACTGTGGACAACCAGGGTTCAGTCCTGCTGGGGAATTCTGGGAGATAGTGGAGAGCGTACACCT